GCAGCCACAGAGGGGGATAGCTGAGCATTGGGCTGCACTCTGCAAGGCACAGGGCATCACAGCTGAATCACAGCCTTCGAGGCTGACTCAGTGCTGACCTTAATTATACACATTTGATTTTGAACTGCCTGCTCCAAAAGCTAATAACTACATTTTTTTTTCCCGAATACAGAACTGGAGAACAGTATGACCATAGGTCACCTGCTGTTCTGCTCAAGTGGGAAGTATAAACAAATCAGTTTTTACTTCAGTATCATCAGGGCATAATCTAGCCTATGTATTGAAGAGTATGCAGGTATTTCTGGAAGAGACTTGAAATAAAACATACAGGAAGAACAGGTATCTTGATGAATCAGTGTAAAAAGAAGATAATAAAGACTGGAAGTGTGATCATGATCAATAGTAGATTGCATACCATAAAGAACACTAGAAACAATACAGTGGCATTTACAAGACTATAAAGACATAAGTATGAAGAGTCACAAGCATACAAACAAGTGACTTCCTGAAAAAGCAAGAAACAAACAACTACCATGAGATATTTTTTTAATTATGTTAAAGAAGAAAAATTAGAAGGCTTGTGAATATTTTTATAATTACTGTTATTGTTGTTGTGGTGATGTTTTTTCTGAAGTTTCCCTTCTCCTTCCCCCTTATCAAGATGTCTCAGCAACAAAACAGCACTAGGAAAACAAGAGCCCCCTACCCACATCAGAGGGCTGCATACAAGAGGGAGAGGAATCATTTCCTGCACGGTTTGAAAAGCTCCAGCAAGGACCACAGACCTCCCTTCACTCTTTCTCCAGGGAAGGAAGCAGAAAATCCCCCAGAGTCAAAACCAGCTTGCAGCTACCCTCCTCCAAAAGAGCACAGCTCCCAGGAACGAAAGCTATCAAATACTGACGGTCAGGACAGAAATGGTTTACAGGAAAATAACCTATTTGTCTTTGTTCTTGCAGAGAGAGACTTTAATCAACCTCTTATTAGGGAATATATCTTACAGTGAACTCCGTCAGGGTTCAGAAAACAAAGGAGGCAGCAGGAAACTACTTGGAATAGGTATTTTTTTAAAAAATGCTAGGATTACAAGTGGTCTGATACCAGGACATTCATTTCCTACATTTAAGTTCATCACCTCTACCCAGTGAGCAGCAGGATTCAACTGATGGCTGAAAGCAAATGGATTACATTTCAGGAGTTAGAAAAAACCTTTACATTCTACTGTTGCACTGAGCAAATTCTCATTTTTAAATAAAGCAGGTGTGAACAGTTACCTTCAAAGCAGAAGCAGACAGGGAATCTCATATGCAGTGTCATCTCCAAGGGGAAGATTTTAATCAATCTGTAAGTGTTCAGCTAGATGCAATACACAAAAGAAAACCTCTCTCCACCATTTTTTACCTTTCAGGAAAGTGCCTGTAAAATGTGTGTGAATTATCTTAGGTTTGCTATCTCTGATGCAGCAGTGGGCTGGGAAATCCAGTCCCCCAGATATTTTCTAAGAAAATTGAAATTTTCATATTGAAGGCAGGTTTCAGACATAGTTTATATTGAAAAATAGTTTATATTGAAAAATATTTTATATTGAAAAATAACAAAATCATAGCATCACAGAATCATAGTATCATATAATATTTTCAGTTGGAAAGGATCATCAACCGCCCTGGAATGAGAAAGGACACCTTCAACTTGCTCAAAGAGCCATCCAGTCTGACCTGAATTGTTCCCAGGGATGTGGCATCTGCCACCACTGTAGGCCACCTGTTCCAGTGTTTTACCACTCTCATAGTTAAAATTTCTTCCCTATAACTTACACAAAGCTACACTCTTTTAATTTAAAACCATTACCCCTTGGCCTACTGCTACAAGTCCTGTTGCAAATCTTCACCCCATAAATACCCCTTAAAGTACTGAAAGTCTACAACAAGGTCTCCCCAGAGCCTTCTCTCCTCCAGACTGAACAATGCCAACTCTCTCAACCTTTCTTCATAGTGAAAGAGCTTCAGACCTCTGATCATTTCTGTGGCACTTCCACTGAACCTCTTGCAATACGTCCACACCCTTCTAATGCTGGGGGCCCCAGAGTGTCACCCTGATTCTTAAGTTTTTCTAAAGCCTTCTGAGTTTACATTCTGTTGGAAAACTTTCCCACACATTTTCTGTAAATAACATATTGTTTTGCATTCCTTCATGGGGGTGGAGAAACTTGATGTACTAGTGGTTTGTCCAATGTCTTTGGAGAGGTGGTCCATTCACTCTCCAATCCACTGTCACCTTTGGAAAAGTATAAAAGTTGAAGTCAGAAAATAAACTCTCTTTTTTACCTTGCAAAATAGCAGGTGGCTCGCATTGTGCTTTCTCGTGTCTCGACACCAGAGCTTCACACAGCATTCTAGGTAGGGTCACAGGGGAGCAGAGGTCCAGAATCCCCTCCCTCCCCTGCTGCCCACGCTGCTCTGGATGCAGCCCAGGACACGTTTGGCTTTCTGGGCTGGGAGTGCCCATGGCTGGGTCATATCCAGCCTCTCACCCACAGCACCCCCAGGTCCTTCTCACAGGGCTGCTCTCCATCTGTTCATCACCAGCCTGACCAGGGCTCTCCACAGCCCAGTTGCAGCACTTTCTACTTGGTCTTGTTAAGCCTCATGAGATTCTCATGGGCCCACTTCTCAACCTTACCCAGGTCCTTCTGGATGGCATCCCATCCTTCAGGTGTGTCATCCTTCATCTGCACCACTCAGCTTGGTGTCATCTAAAAATTTGCTGAGGGTGCATTCAATCCCTCTGGCCTTGTCACTGATGAAGAGATAAAATAACACTGGTCCCCATAGAGACTCCTTAAGACACCACTTGTCACTAATCTCCACTGGGACTCTAACCACCACCTTCTGGATGTGACTGTCCAATTAATTTCTCATCCACAGAACAGTCCGCCCATCAAATCCATCTCTCTCCACTTCTCCAGTTTAGAGAGAAGGATTTTAAGGAGGAATGTGTCAAAGTCTTTACACAAGTCCAGGTAAATGACCCCAGTAGCCCTTCCCTTGTCCACAGATGGAGTCACTCCATCACAGAAGGCCACTGAGTTGGTCAGGCAGGACTTGCCCTTGGTGAAGCCTGCTGGCAGCCTTGAATCACCTCCCTGTCTTCTATGTGCCTCAGCACAGCCTGTAGAGGATTTCTTCCATGGTCTTCCCAGGAACAGAGGTGAGGCATCCCCATTTAACTTTTGCGTTCTTCCATGTCATGACCTCACCAGTAAGGATTCCCTAAGAAAATTGCATTATCTGTGCTGTGGGAATCATGCAGCACAGCAGTACTTACACCCCAGATTTATCTATGCTGTACAGAACAAATTAATTAAATCATTTTTCCCCAACATAAAGCTTCATACAGCAGGTGGGACAAGAGACTACAGTTGTCATTTAACCACTTAAAAATAATTAATTGCCTTTATCTGACAGCTGGATCCAGTAAAACCAGTAGACATCTGACAGCTGCCAGAGCTGGAGTCTGACTGTCTTCAATGAGTTGATCTGCTGCTTCACACAGAGAGCAGGCAAGGGTAAAAAAGGCTGGGTGCAAAAAAGGTTGCACATCAAAACTTTTGCCAGTGCCATTGTGTTAGTAAGGGGAGTGACTTGTGATGATAACCATGTAACAGGAAAACATCTGGTTTATTACACAGTTAGATATGCCAGAAAACTATTTCCACCTTGTAGGTTTTCCCCATTTAAGCTATAAGAGGAATGCATCTTTAAAGATACACAGAAATAAGACAAACCTGTAAATACAGCTATCCAAGCAAATCTTACCAATATAGACCACAACAAAATAAAACAAGCCACACTTTCAGCTACTCCTTGAATGTTAATCCAGACATCTTCAGTAAATGCAAGTCAACACCAGTCCAGTGACTTTCGTGCAACTGCAGTTAATACCACTGAAAAATTGCATTTTCCAGATGGGAAGACAAAAGCTAAAATTGTCAAAGAGGACATTCTAGGTTTCATTTGAAATGCCACATCTAAGTAGACATTAATTCCCAGAAAACATTTGCTCTAATCTCTTGAAACAGCTGCAAAATGATGTATCTTTAGAGTTTGGGGCACAAGATATTTTCTGACAAATTCTGAAACTCACGCCTTTGTGCCACAAGTGGAATCTCATTCTTCTTCCCTCTTTTGATTTAAGAGACATGTCAAGCAGAATAAAAGTGGCCACATTAAGAAGGAAACTCATTCCCTGGAAAAATGGGCCTGAAGCAACGTGTATCACTTGGGATGTACTTAGCCCAGAACCCAGGCTGCTGCTGGGAAAATAATGTTGTTCCTAAGGCACAGATGCCATCTCTGCTTGGCCATTCTCAGTGGGAGGAGGTGGTTTGCAGAGTCCAAATACACACAAGGTCTGACACTGGCATTGTAACTCTGGGCAAACTCTTCCTTCATCATCACAGTTTCTTCTGCTGCAATATCATTGCCTGCCAGGACAAGAGGATTTGCTAATCATGGTTTTGGATGGTTAAGGAAATCAATTAAGATTGAGACAGGCTCCTAGAAATGCCCCTGGAAAAAAAATGATCACAGCAAACAACAGTCTTCAAATTGTGTCACAGCAGTACGTCTTTGCTTTCCAGTCTCAGGGACTTTGTCCCACAGCTCAGCAGGGCAGGATGCCAGGCTCCTCGCCAAGCAGGGCAGTTGGCTGGCACAGCACCAGCACGGGAGGGAGCCGTGTGTGCTCCCAGACACACTGCTGGCTGTGCCACCTGGCCCCTGATCCTCCCACTGCTAAGGTAAAGAGTCCACAGCACCCATCCGCACAGAAAGACAACACCTGAGCACGGTGTCCCTCCTGTTAAAGGGTGTCCCTCCCTGGACTCTGGAGATGGTGTGGCAATATGTGCTCAACAGGTAATGGGGGTCTGGATATGCTTTGAGCAGTCCCACCGCCCCTCAGCCCCCAAAATCTCACTGCTGTCCTCCTCTGGTCTGCAGGAAGCAGTCTGGGGACCTCAGGGCCGGAATCAGCTGGTGCAGAAGAAGTTGGCAGATGTGGTGAAGAAGATCTCGCTGGGGCTCCACGCCTGCCTGCACCTCAGCTGCCTCAAGAACAAGGGCAGGTGGGTGGCACCGTCCCCAGGGTTACCTGGGGGGCCCTGGAGTGTGTCCCTGTCCATGTCTCCGCGGGGCTGCCCCCGAGATGGTGTCAATGCTGAAGCAGAACTTGTGCAGGAAGGCGCTGTGCATGGTGAGGGACACACAGAACATGCTAGGGGACAACAGGATCTGCAATGAGTTCCACGTGATCTGGCATGTTGTGAATCTCAAGGCTGTCAGCACCTATGAAGGTACAGCAGGGAGGGGGACTGGGAGTTTCCCAGGGCATCCCGGGGGGGTCCTGGGGTACAGGCTGAGGTGTGGTGATCCCCACAGGAACCCATGACATTCCCGTGCCATCACCAGCATCCAGACCTTTGCCCCAGCTAAGGGGATGTAGTGGGGACATAGCAGCACAGGCACAGCAGGGACATGGCGGCACCATGTCCCAGCATGGCACAAACAGCAATGGAAAAGCCCTTTGGGGCCCAGATTCCCTTTTGACCTGGCACAGCCCTGTGGTTCCATGGGTTTTGGGGGGGTCTGTGGGCTAGGGGGAGTTCTACTCAGGTTTGGATGAGCTGGTGGGTGACAAGTTCAGAGTTTTCTTGAAACTCTTCCCACAGTGGGGGCCGCAGAAGGGCCTCTCCTCTGTGTGAATCCAGTGGTGCAGGAGGAGACTGGAGCTGCTCTGAAAGCTCTTCCCACACTCAGGACACTCGTAGGGCCTCTGCCCGGTGTGGATCATTGGTGGGCAATCAGGTCAGAGCTGTCTCTGCAGCCCTTCACACACTCCCCACACTCGCAGGGCCTCTTTCCAGTGTGGATGTGTTGGTGGCAGATCAGGTTTTTGCTTTCACTGAATCTCTTCCCACACTCCAAGCACTTGTAGGGCTTCTCCCCATCATGAAGCTGCTCGTGGACCACCAGGTCCAAGCTCTGGCTTGATCTTTGGTTGCCTTCCCTGCATGGGGTGAGTCTTTCCTCCTCAGAGCACCCTGGGTTGGGTGCTTCTGTGGGAGCACCCTTCTCCTGTGGGATCTCTGAGGCTTTTCCTCCCCATTGGATTCCTGAGCTGTGGAGTCACTCAAAACCTCTTCCACAAGGTTCTGCCCAGGGGGATTTGTGCTCCCTGGACACCATTTATTAACTCAGCTGTCCCCCAAAACCTCTCCCCAAGTACACTGGCTACAATGTGATGTCTATCAAATGTCACTGTGATAGGGGAGAGAGAAAGTCATTTAAGATACAGCACAAATAAATATATCTGAAAATGTTCTCAATATAAAGTTAGTATTTTAACTGATAAGTAAAGCACTATCCAAAGACATTTTTTTTAAATGCAAATATCAACAATTCAGTTACATGCAAAATATGCATCCACAAAACCTACTCAAAATATACAGAGGTCTACGATCAAACATTTAAACATTTCATCTGCAAGTGCAAGTGCATATTAATGAATGCCAAAGGCACTCTATATCCTGAAAGGAGATAGTCTTCAGAGTAGGCAAGACTCTCACATCATTTATGTTTTGAAAATGTCATTAAAGTAACCACTACATCCTTTCAGAAGACTCAATCCAAATATTACTTGAATTATATTATACCAGGGATTGTTAGAATTTTGCAAAAACTACTTCTTTCTAGGATCAGAGTTATGTAAATTTTTGCCTCAAACTAGAAAAGGTGCAGGAAGGAATCTGAGAAAAAAAGGGTTGCTCTCTTTATCTACAGAGTGCAGAAGGTTATATTGAAAGGAAACAAATGTAGATGCCCATTAGTTGTGAGTAAAGAAAAGCATGATAACTATGCATGTAATGAAGAAAATTAAAAAGAAGACAGCGTACTAAAATTATTTGTGTGTTTGTTTCTATAATCCTTAAATTTTTCTGAGAAATTTAGTCTTGTTTTGCTAATTTGTACCAAAAAAAATATGGAAAAATATCTGTTTTTTCTGCCTTCAGACAAGATATCAGTGTCTATAACAAATTTTTATTTGAATGTGCAAGTGTAAATGTTGTTTCACTTGTTTAACTGATGAACACCACTGCCAAGCTATTCTACTATGGTTAGACTATAAACTATAAACTAATTGTTTGGCATGTCCTGGGTGATTTTGTAACTTTCACTCCAGTGCTTGTGTCTGGAATAACAAACAATAAAAGAAAAAAAAAATTGAATGGACAAGATGCTTATTTAGCACTGTGTTTGTCTAAAATTGTTGTGCCTGTTCTATTTAGTAGAGCTAAACCTCACATATGACACAAACAGATACTATCAATTTTAACTGGATCATTTAAAGTCTGCAGAAATTTTGTATAGGAGATCATGTCTGGTTTGAATTTTAAGTCTCTGTGTCCCAAACAATGTATTAGAAGTTTTTGCTTTAGATGGGACTGTGCCATGTCCTGATTTTTATGAAGCAAGTCTGGGTGAATGGCAGTATTACTAAGAAAAGAAGAACCAAACAAACAAATATAAAATCTATTCCAAATGAGTTGCATTCAGAGACTGTGCAATGCTGCATGCCAGAGTTTTAAAAACTGCCTGTTAGTAAAACCCATACTGCAAGACAGTCAGCCTGAAACTACAAACCCATTTGGTCCTGCTCTCTGGGGATGACAGGTCTATGCAGGAAAGACACTTCTGGAAAGATGGCATCTTTACTTCTCTCTTCTTCCCCCTCCACAGCATTCACTGTCAGTAAACTACTGCTTTGAATGCTGTTTTCTGCCTTGCTGGTTTATTCAAGCAAACCACTAAATCCATGCCAAAGAGGGCCTGCCTAACAACTGCGGACACACAAGCCAACAGAATTAATTTTTACAGATCAGAGAAATCTGAGAAAGTTTACACAGCCCTAATATAACCACAACTATTTTCAGCCTGGGGAAAAAAAAAAAAAGAAAATCCCCTGGCCAAATGCACTTCACAAGTCAGTAACTAACACCAATCACAACTTTCTACCTGATCTGTATAAGCTATTCCCAGCATGCAAACTGCTCCAGTGCACAACATGATTCATTGGAGTAGTACTACTGAGTTTGCACCAGCTCCCAGACCCAGCGAGCAGCCTTTGAGAGATTTTACATACTTCTTTCACATTCAGGCAATGCTAATAAACATAGCACTACTCTTTCTTCACAGAGGAGCTCTCCCAGGCCCACAGAAAGAGCAAGTTGAAGCATGCAGACAGTACAGAGATGAGAACAGCATTAGTGCCCTAGTTCCACTCAGAGAAATTATAAAACCAGCGTAACACTGAACACACCTACGCCAAGCACTCTACTCTTGTGCTGTTATCACTCATCAAATTTCTAGTAACAGTGCTTCCGGCTCTTCACAGCCATCACATCTGAGGTTTTCTCATTTCATGAATTTCCTTTTTTGTGGGAGACCAGTGCTTATATAAGGGCAAAGTTCAGAAGTGGGGAAACTTAATTCCTTCTTTCCTGGAACAGATACCCAAGGCCACCTGCAACTTCAGGTACCAGTGTATGCCTCACTCACTCATTGTACAATTCAGTCCCAGCACTATTTTTACCCTCAGTCTCTTGTCAATGACACTTGCCCATTTTTTGTTATGAAAAAGAGAGGGAGAGAAAAGCAACTTGTTTGGGAAGAAAATGCTAAGCAACCTCTTCAGCAAACATCAAACAATTGAAGTTCATCTGAACCAAGGGAATTGTATTGAGGGTTGGAGTCTCCTTTTTGTGCTACAAGAAATCCAAAGTTGCTTATGAGGTTTTTTCAGGCAGATCTCAAAGGCTGATTACAGAGGAATTTGAAAGATTACAGAAAGAAGCTGAAGTTTGGCAAATGGCTGGCAAAATGTCTCAGCAGTAAAGCCTAACCAAAGAAGGCATGGAGGAAAAGTCACTTGCTGGGTTAAGCAAGCAGGAACTTTGGCAAAGACAGAACAAGAAGTCACTTAGGCCTGTGTCTCTGCTAAGGGTTATGTACATCAGCTGCTCAAGCAAATCCCACCCAGGCCTCCTACAGAAAGAGACTGCCAAAATCTGCAAAAGGCTCTTGCTTGTAGCAATTGCTGCTGGAAGTCCCTTCCAGTGGACAAGTCCTGGAGGGGCACCCTTGTCCTGGTCTATCCACTGCCTCCAGGAAGAGGTAGGCTGTCATCTGCAGCCCTACTCTGCTGCTGCCTCTGCTCACAGTGGGTTCAGATGCTTCTGTGCTCCATCCCTCAACAATCTCCCAGAATAACCTTTAAAATGTCTTATAACAGCAAAGCAAAGGACAAGAACATCTGTCCCCACCATCACAAGTCTTAATGCTGAAGCGGGGTACAGTGTGGTGTTGTTGGTGTTACTTCTTTGGCTCTCTTGCACCAAAACTAAACATACCACAGTTCAGTATGCCCTAGGAGAAGAGCTGAGCATGTTTGCTTCCACAAGATCACTCACTTGCCCAATTTAAGCTCAATCACCAGCAAGTAAACTTTTCATAGATGGACCACTCCATCTGTGGATGAGTGGAGAGGAGAGGAAATAGGCATGACCAAACTGTCTGTTTGATGGAACCAGATGATGAACTTCCTATTTTCTCATTGGAGTTACTTATAGTTTCTAATGAACATCAAGAGTTGATTTTTTTTTTCTCCTCTACCCTTGTATACGCTATTTTTAAATTGTTCTCTTCTTTCTTTCCTTTAATGATTGGAAACCTTTGCTCTTCATATAAGATCTTGTAATATTTCCCTTTGGTGAAGTCCAAGTTAAAACTGTTATCCTTTTGACCTTTTGACCTTTGACAATATTATACTTAAGGAATGGGAGATGTCACCAGGTTCTCTCATAGTATGACTTGTAAACTGAAATCAACAGGAACCCTCAGCAGTCACCAGCAATCACAAGCACCTCTTTTCTTCATGTCATGAAAGAAAAAATTAATATGCTAAGCAAGGCTCCATGTTTCAGGCCCCGCGGACCTCATCCCAGGGGAAACATTTCCAGCCCTATACACCAGAAGCTGGTTTTCCAAGCAGGCAGGGACTCTTGCAACAAGCAAGAATAAAAAAAGTCTTTGGGAAGATACTCCTTTTAAAGACCTTCTCTTTTGCAGTAGCCTGGCTGCCAGTAGTGCGCTGCTGCTTTTCACATCATCTTCTCCCTCGCCTGCCCAGGAGACTGAAGGTCATAGCAAAGCATCCCTGA